GGGAGGCTGCAAGGCTCCTTCACTCTGTTTTTTCCATTGGGTCAGAGGATTCACTCAGGTTTGGAAGCTAAAAAGAAGAAAAGGGGGCCTCTTGCCTCGGGGAGGAGCTGTGCAACAAGGGATGGGAAAGAGTGGGGACCTGGGGGAGCATGCTCTTACCAGCAGCCCTTCGGTTAGGTGGTCTGGGGAGCAGTGGGGCAATCATTGATGCAGCCTCTGGGTTTTGATGTTCTCTGAACCATCCTGTAAGGGTCGTTCTCCTTGGCAGGCACAAGGGAAAACAAAAAAATCAAAGGAAGATGTGCAGGTTTCTCAAGAATTCTACAGAAGGGCTTCTGAAGGCCTGACTGGATGCTGGAAGCAGTTAACACAGTTTGCTGGCAAATGGGGGAGGGGCTGGGGCAGCGGTTTCCCCCTTTAAACTCCATCACTGCTTCTTTGCTAGCTCCTTTGTGAAGAGCTAATAGAAAGAGAGCTGAGACCTTTGGGTACCCAGCTCCATGCTACTGTTTCCTCACTTTCCTTCAGAGGCTCGATGCAGAGGGATCTCAGATTTAGACTGAGATTTGAATCCCCAAAGTCTTCACTTAGCCTGCAGCACTACCAGGACCTGCTTGCTGGGGCTGCAGGAATCTGGGGTAGGGACAAGGTGCTGAGAGGAAGAAAGAAGGCTTGACCAGAACCATAGTGTGAGGCCCAGGGGAGCACACGGGCCTCTGAGTTTGGCTACTGCCTGGGAAGCTCACCCTCTCACCCTCCTCCTGGGTTGCCCTCTGGCTTCCAGGAGCCAAGTGGGAAAGAGACCTGGGTGGGAAAGGCCAAGGTTTGAGTCCACATTGTCCACCTGCAGGCAAGGGGACAGGAAGAGAGAATTCTGATGTGCTGGGACTCTGCAGTCCCCCTCTCCTGAGTTCCAGGCCTTGTTGCTCTTGGGGTTAGAGAAGGTCAGAGGCCAGAACACAGCCAGGCTCCAGAAACAAAACCCAGAAGAGATTTCTGATATGTGTGCTTGCTTTGTAGTGGTCACATGGGTAGGATTCTTTTCCAGTCACCTTAAAGAGTGATCCGTGATGCTGTTTATGGAGTTTCATAGGTACTAAGAAGCAGGGAGCTTGATCCTTGACCCCAGGAGGTAGAACTTGATAGGAAGGACAAGACTTGAATACTCAGGGGCCATGTTCCTGAATGCCCATGTTTCCCTGAAGAGATAGGTCAGTTTTGAAAATATAAAAGCCTGGTAGGCACCTTACGGCCAGGGAGAGGGTAATGCAGCTCCAGTTACAGTGAGGGCCATGCCCCAGCCTGGTTAGGATGATGGTGCAGGAAGTGGGGCCCAGGTGTGCTGGGGCATGGCGGGCTGAGAACTAGAAGAGTCACTGTTTCCATTAAGGTGGGTGACTACTGCTTCTCTGGGAGGCCTAACCAGATGTGTGGGGAGAGGGCTCCTCACAGGCATTGCTGCATGCACTCCACATGTTGGCCCTGGCTGCCCTGGTGGTCTAGGACTAGCAGGGGTGGGGCTGCCTGGAGGCCTCCAGAGTATCCCCTAGTCTGATTTGCATCACCTGTGGAAGTCAGGCCCCAGGCTCCCTCCCTGTCTCTTCCTTTGGAACTCCTCCCAACCTGGGGCAGAGGGTCCTATCTGACAGATTGTACAGAGTGGCTGGCTTACTGCCCAGGAAGGATGGGTGGAGTCTTGTTGAGGAGGTAAGGACAAGAAGTTAGAAGAGACAAAAAGAAGGTAGTACATCTGGGAGCCTCAGCGCTCCAGCCCCACTTTCTCTGTGCCTTTGTAGATGGAGCCAGCCGGGCCTCAGAACTGAGAGACTTCCGTGTGCTAAACAGGGGACCTTAACCCTAACCCTAACCCTAACCCTACAGTCAGAAAGATCCAAGTGTAGTTTCCTGCCCAGTAGGTGGACAGAGCCCAAAGTGGTCCGTGATAGTAGAATCATGGGGGAGGCCAGCCCCACCCCACTAGGCCCTGGATGTCTTTGTCTCATTTCACAGGCTATAGCCATAGACATGCCCACATGGATCCAGGTGTGGCTCAGGGCAGAAGCTCCAAGCTGATTCAGGGTTCATGGGTAGGTAGGGAGCATAGCTAGGCAGCCCAGCTCTAGGGGAACACAGCATTTGTCCTGCTAGATGAAGTCCTTCATCCAGAAATTAAGGTAGCTCCAGCAAGTAGGCCCAGGGACTGTGGAGGAGGCAGTGGCAGGAGTGGATCTCTTTGAAGGTCAGTGGGGGAGGAAGCCCAGGCCAGCTGCCAGAGTGTCTGGGTACCGGTGCCTCCCCCTGCTTGCCCTTGCTACAGGGAAGCAGGCCGGATGAGTGTGGGGCCTTCCGCTTCCTGTATTCCTTCCTTTCTGTGGCCTTCTCCTGATGTCTCCTTGCAGTCCCACCGATTGGCCCCTCACCCTGCTACCTTTGGAAAGCAAATGTGACCTTGGTGGGGAGAGGGGAGGCTTGGCTGGAGTCTTTTCTGGCCCTGAGCCCTGATGTCAGTCATTGTAGTCATCTTGGGCTCCCTAGGCCCAAAAGATTGATGTGAGGCAGGACTCGAGGATCCTACCACAGGGTATAGACAGTTACTCTATTCTCTGACCTTGAGAAGTCCTTCATTCATGACTCTCAGCTTTCCAAGGGGGTTTTGGGGGCTGGAAGATGGTAAGCAACTGGGCAGCCAGGAGACCCCTACTCTTCTGAATCTTTGGTTGGGAGTCTGGAAGCCTTTAGGTAGGAGGGTACACACATGGGGAGGGAGACATGTGCAGGTAGGGAAGGGGGGATGCTTGGTCAATCCTGTGTGGCCAGAAGGGATGGGTGAGGATAGCCCTAGGTGAAATGGAAGCCAGGTGGCATTGCAGGCAGCTGGGGAATGATACCCTCTTTGGTCCCCCTCCTTACTGGAGTATAAAGTACACACCTTGGCGTCACCCCTATAGAGACCGCTGCCCGCCTTCTGTTATTCTTTCCACTCCACAGGCTGAGGCTCCGGTGGTGGCTTAGCTGGGTGGCCTGCCTGGCCCCCACCCCTCCTGGGCAGCAGCTTCCATTCCTCCTCAGCTGAATCACTGGCTGGGCAGTGGGCTCCCTCTAAGGCCCTGCCCACCACTGTGGCTGCCCACCAATTTGCCCATCCACTCTCCACTGCTGGCTGATCAGGCGGGGGTACTGCTCCTGTGAGGCTGTGGGATTTTACAAGGTGACTTCTCATCCTAGAGAAACCAGATTAGAGGCAAGAGGAAGTCTGGCTGAGAAAGAAGACGTCTGTAAGAACAATTAGGGGGGATTTAGGCTTTGACAAGCTCAGGTGAACATTCTAGGCTCCATACAATCAGGTTCTATCCACAGGGAGACAGGCAGACACTGGAGGTAAATATGGTACAGAGGAGAAAGGGCCAGGGAGTGTTCTCCAGGGACATTTAGAATAGCGGTCCTCCTCCCTGCAAGTCTTCTTGTGATTCTATGGGTATGCTGAGGTGGGTGTTCTGGGGTCTCTTAGGACCCTCTTCCTTGCCCCTGCATCACAGCAGCCATCCCTTGCAAAGCCCATACCTGTTGTTTGATCTGCAGAGCTCTGTTGGGGCCTGGCTGGTTCCCATGGACCTTTGCATGGCATTCTTGGCTTCATTCTGGGAATTCCCAGGGAAGACCCCATGAAAGACAAAACAACCTGGCCACTGTGTTGCCTGTGGTCAGGGCCAGTGCTCCTGGGCCAGAACCATCTTCATACGGAGCCGCTCCCAGGCACCACCTCCTGTGCCCCAGGCCTGACCCCAGTGGCCAGCAGCCTCAGATCCAACAAACTGATGGGGCCCAGGCCTCTCCCTGCCCTGGCAGGCACCTCCGCCTAACCTCCGTGGTGGCTGGTGGTTTCTGGGCTGCCTGGCTTTGGGAAGTGCCTGCCTTGTTAGCCCTGGGCACAGACTCAGAGATGTGGACTTGGCATCCTCCCAGAGCCTGGGAGGCCCCTGTGTCTCTAGAGCAGCTGAACCAGAGACAGGGCCATGGACTTGGTGACTCTGAGCAAAGGCTACTGCTTGAATGCTTGCTACCAGCCTTTGCTTGGTTCTCATGCCTGTGCTTTCCCCACCTTTCGTAAGGGAGCAGGGGGAGAACCTCCAAGGAGAAATGGGGAGCATCTGGGTGGGAATGGGCTTTGAAACAACTAAATGGACTCTTCGTAAAGCCGATGGGAAACAAGACCCACAGGAGCAGCAAGCCAAGAGACAAGGGCCTGGTCTTTTACTCCTCTTCTCAGAGCTCTAGGGAGAGAGTGGCCATGGTTCCTGGGCCTTTCTCAGGACCCCTTCCCTCTTGGGGACAAGTTTGGACCCTCTGCCATAGAGTTCCTTACTCAGCTCCCGATCCTCCATGTCTTTCTGGTTGTCTCTGCCCTCCTGGGCCCCTCAGGCCAGAGGAGTGATTCAGTTAGCTGTCACTAGATGGCGCAGGGAATGTAACCTAAGGGGCACAAGGGGCTTGTTCATGATCCCAGTGGGCCCTCTCAGGACACTTTTCTATAAGCCATTGGGGTAGCCTGTGCCAGCTTCCCAGGGCCTTGGTGTGGTGTGAGCATGGGGTGTCAGGCTCTCTCCACAGAGCTTGAGTGTCATGGGGCTGTGCTGCTGGGAAGGGTTTCTTCTTGGGAAAGAAGAAATAGGTGCTAAGATGCTGTATGTCTTGAAAATACCCCAGCACATGCCATCTTTGGGCCCAGATCTCCCCTAGACCATTTCCTACTCTATCCCATTTCCAGTTTGCTGGTTCTTAGCCAGTGTGGCCTCACTGTCCCCTCCTACCCTATAGCCAGTTTCTTCAGTGTTCTCTCACAGTAAGTTTCCTGGTGAACCCCTAGGGCTCTGTTCCCTGTAGAGCCCTCTGTTGATCAGTAGTCATTGATTGGACTCCTGAGGGTGCGGGCCCACTTTTCCACTCCCCTTTAAGACTCCTTGACCAAAGGCTGAACCTGCTTCTAAGAACACCAGGACAAGGGCACACAGACACCCAATACAATCTTCCTCCACAACCCTCAACCAGAAGTAGCAGCTGAAGGCCCCTGCCAGGAAATTCCCCAGAATCCCCTAAACTGGGCAAGGTGTAGTGACCTAGAAGACCTCCTGTCACCCTTGTTCCTCTAGGCTGTTCCTTGGCAGTGGAACCGGCCTGGGCAGTATGGTCCTCTGCCCCTCACTGGCCTCCCTCCCCTCCCTCTGCCCACTGGGAATTGGGGAATGAAAGTGCTATTGTGCAAAGTGACTGGGCCACTGAAGGGCCAGCACTGTTATTTCTGCAAACCAGCCCTCCCATTAGCCATGCAGGGCACAAGCCAGGAAAATGTTACCTTTTCCTCCATGAGCTGACTGCAGGGGAAATTCTCACATTTACAGTTTGTGCAGTGGTTGTGTTTGGGGGGGGGGCAGAAGGGAGGGCAGTGTGCTTGTGTGGTTTCGCACACAGGGGCGGTGGGCTTCCTCCCCTTCACGCTCCCTCTTTTCCAAGCTCTAGGGGTACCTCCTGCTCTGGACTTGTATCTAGGGAAATAAGTAGACCCACAGTCTGTGAGTAAATAAACAGACACCCTCCCTCTCTTAGCCAGAGGGTAGCTGTGTGAAAACATGCTCATGGGGGGTTGGAGGCAGGGCACTTCCCAACCAATCATGAGGATGGGTGCAAGGCCAGGAGATGGGAACCAGGACCATTGATGGTCCTGGTAGATGCTAGAATTAAAGGGTCTTCTGCCTTTGCAACCTCCTGGGATAGAACGCTATTGCCTTTAGGCCTGGCCACACAATAGATGTTTGGATGGTACAGCCTCTGACAATTTGAGTCCCCAGAAAGTCCTGCCTCCTATCTAGCTATAGGTTCTCTATCCTGCCTGCCAGTGGAGCAGAGAAGAGCCGTATACTGATTTCCTATGTGTACTGTGACCAGACACTTGTGTCCCTCCTCTCCTGACTGGGATAGTCCCTTGACAGAAGTGAAGAGTTTTGTGTGGCCCCATCCTAACCCCTGTGGTGCCCCAAGGCTTAGAGAGCCTCCCACTCTCTCACAGACACAGACAGTAAAGTGAAGGCTGAGTACAGGGGACTGTTCAAGGGAGCTGGGTTGTTGGAGCCACCCCCAGGGAGCTGAGTAGGAGGGGTGTAGACAGCATTTCACCTGGCTGCAGGTTCCTTACCACCTGACTCCCCCTTCAGGTTTTCTCCAAGATCTTCAGCCATGAGGCGCTAGAGAGCTACCTGCCCAAGATCCAGCTGGTGATCCAGGACACACTTCGGGCCTGGAGCAGCCAGCCTGAGGCCATCAATGTGTATCAGGAGGCCCAGCGACTTACCTTCCGAATGGCTGTGCGTGTGCTGCTGGGCTTCAGCATTCCTGAGGAGGACCTGGGCCACCTCTTTGAGGTGTACCAGCAGTTTGTAGAGAATGTCTTCTCTCTTCCCGTGGACCTTCCCTTCAGTGGCTACCGAAGGGTGAGTACCCACTGCCTGCGAAGATAGAGCGCGGGACTGCCTTTACAAGGGGAATGAACTGCTGGACAGGTGCTTGGGGGGAAGCACAGGGCTTGGGAACAGACAGATGAGAGCAGAGGTGGCAACAGGATGGGCCTGGAGCCTTTCCTACATTCCAGAGGCTTAGAAAGAGCCCTACCTTCAAGAGGAGCTGATGGTTCATTCTCCCCTAGGGCATTCAAGCTCGGCAGATCCTTCAAAAGGGCCTTGAGAAGGCTATCCGAGAGAAGCTGCAGTGTACCCAGGGCAAGGACTACTCAGATGCCCTGGACATTCTCATTGAGAGCAGCAAGGAACATGGCAAGGAGATGACCATGCAGGAGCTGAAGGTAGGTGGACATTCCACGCCCACTGTGGAACTCCCTTTCTCACTTCCCTCATCCAGAGCCAGAGATGGCCTGGCTGCCTTCGCTTCAATCAGCTTTCTGAGCAGCAGTGGCAGTGGCTGCCTCGGGCCCCACGGTGCTGAGGCAAAAGCAGGGCGGCATTTATGCTCTTGCTCTGAAGGATGCCTGGGGCTGTTCTGGGCTTGGGGTTGTGTGTACCATATCCTGGGGTGGCCAGGCCCCATAAGCTCTGTCCCTACACATATCCATCTCTATTGTTATTAAGATGATTTTGAACAATGACCCTTAGACTACCAGCTGTCAGAGGCCTGTTGACACCTCCCACTGAGCCTATCCCTGTGATATTCTCTCAGTTCACTCCATGATCCTGAGAAAACACAAGCTCAGAGCCATGTACTGGAGGCCAGCTCCAGACTCCAGGAAACTTTGATTGTGTATGGACGCCTTCCTCTTATAGCTTCTCTGGTCATGCTCTACCCCACAGTCTGAACACAGCTGGGCCTCATTCCCTTGGTCGTGCAGTAGGCCCTGTCTGGGAGGCTCTTCCATTTGAGAGGGCTTGTTCACCACCCTACCTGCACCCACGTTCTGCACCCAGGTATCTGCAGATTTCCCCAGGAAGCTGGGGAGAAGCTGCTGTAACCTCATTAGCAAATACCCAAGCATTGGGATGAGAGGACCTCTGGGTTTCACCGCAGTCCCCTCTTAGGTCCTCCTGGATGCTGCATTATGCTGCTTCTATTATGCATGCCTGCCCATCTGACCACCTAAAAGGCATCCCTCTTCTGATGATGGAGAAAGAAACTGGGGGCATGGATACCTAGTTACCTATCACACACACACACACACACACACACACACACACACACACACTGCAGAGCCTCTGCAACATGTCCTTTCTCTTCTATGAGCTTATTGCATTGAGCAGGTCCACTGGTGCTGGCCATGAGTCCAGCACCAAGCAAGAAGTGACCTTAAGCTCTGGAGTCAGCAGGCCTGTGCTTCTGCCCTGAGCATAGCAGTGTGTTTCCACTAGGCTGGGGGTCAGGCTGTGACCTCCATGAGCCTTTTAAGAGGGAAGCTCAGAGCAGAAGTGCTGGCGGCTGACAGGAGGTAGGTCCCGGTGCACATGGGCTCTGGGAAAAGCTAGCTTCTTAGGTCCACCTTATGTGGCTGCTGCAAATAACCCAAAATGCCTGTCTCTCTGCTGCTGTAGGATGGTACCCTGGAACTGATCTTCGCAGCCTATGCCACCACAGCCAGTGCCAGCACATCTTTGATTATGCAGCTGCTGAAACACCCTGCAGTGCTGGAGAAGCTGAGGGAGGAACTTCGGGCCCAGGGCCTGCTGCATGGTGGTGGCTGTCCTTGTGAGGGTACCTTGCGCCTGGACACACTTAGCAGCCTGAAATACCTGGACTGCGTTATCAAGGAAGTCATGAGGCTCTTCACACCTATCTCTGGTGGCTACCGTACTGTGCTGCAGACCTTCGAACTGGATGTGAGGCTGGGCTCCAGTGCTGGTGGTAGTGGGTGGCTGGGGCTTTGGCTAAACACTGGGAAAAGATGGCCATCTTGGGGTCTTCAGTATGGTAGTGGGGAGCGGGAGGCAGAAAACAGTGCCTGATTCTAGTAGCTTTCAGTCTTGTGGGAGAGACTTACACCAAATGTAGAGCTGAATGAAGCCAACCTGTGTGTCACATGGGATAATGCTTGTGACCCTTATGGAGACTTGAACTAGAGTGCTGGGGAGTGTCTTTGGTCAGGAACAATCTTTGAACATCTGAGGATGAGGACAGGTAAGTGGGCCTCTTCTGACTCTGACCACCCTACTCCCTGCTCCATCTCCCTCCAGGGTTTCCAGATCCCTAAAGGTTGGAGTGTCATGTATAGCATCCGAGACACCCACGACACAGCACCCGTGTTCAAGGATGTGAACGTGTTTGACCCTGACCGCTTCAGCCAGGCTCGCAGTGAGGATAAGGATGGCCGCTTCCATTACCTCCCATTTGGCGGTGGCGTGCGGACCTGTCTGGGCAAGCACCTGGCCAAGCTGTTCCTGAAGGTGCTGGCGGGGGAGCTGGG